TCCACTTTTTTCCGTATCGCTCCATTTTCATCTCCTTTTCTGTGCACTATGTGAGAGGGTACAATGTCTTCTTCCTAATGAAACCAAATTTCATGCAGTTCTCAAAACTAGTGAAATAACAACATCACCTTACGTCAGTCCTCAAATTGAACTCACTAGGGCTCTGGCACGTTACATCTAGCGGCAGTCTAACGTATCAGGAAGCTCTTATGGGCAACAGTTCAACTCTTCAATAAGTTTGGAACCACCACAGATGGAAAATTCGGAGACTCGAAAGTTACAGTTACCACCAGGATAATTATCAGATGCAGAAACTAGGTCTCCCCTTGTCGACTTTCGTACTCCCAAAATGAAAAAATTGATGTGAAAACCCAGCCAGACACTCTAAAGACTCCACATCTGTAGTGGATAGAAAGCCACACGAGTAGTCTACTTGGGACTTTTTACAGGACCGAGCACCCAAGAATAAAGCAAAAATCCTCTAAAAAGCGATTTTTCGAGTTCGTTGCTTTCGAAGAATTGTTACAATGGAACCTCCACCTAATAGCTCTAGATTTCTGTATTTTACACCCTGGATGCAAGCGCAAATAAATGCCCCACAAAACTTTGATTCCCTGAAGAAAGGCAGAGCAGAAGGCCTGGAAACATTTGGACACGCCTCAGTTGCGTGCCACCGCACGCGCCATCCCCCTTCATCTGAAGGCTCGTGTAAACGGGCAGGTGGCAGATCTCAATTCTATTCTGGAATTACTTTGAGATAAGAGTTACAAATACTTCCCTGAAGTTTGTTTGTTCCATCAAGCTACTATGCGTTTTTAACGACACAATGTCTTGGTCCTCATAATTTTGGCCCACCCTGTAGTGTAAGAGGCTGTGCAGCAGACCCACATGACTCGCAGGATGCAGTCCTACCAATTCAAAACCATCCTTCTATCCCTTTACCAATTAGAGGAATCCTTCCCGGAAAAATCTTGCATTCTTTCCCAACACGCATATGTCAGTTGTGATCACTAGAGACAACATACAAAGTTTCACGCACAAAGATTCAGTTTCCGAAGAGAAACAAACTTACAAAAACACTATGGACAATCGAAGGTAAGTGGGGCGCGGAGCCAAAGGCGGGGCATGGAAGAAGTCCGCCTTGAGGCG